ATAGTTCATCAGAACTGAGCACTAAGGGTTATATTGGGTACATCCAAAGTCTATAACAATCCTCACTCAGTCCAGAAGTTGTTCCAGTTGACCAAGGATCTCCCAGTAATCTTATATCTGCTCTAAGGAGCAAGGTTCACGGAGTGAGGAGTCTATTGGAGGAGACACGGGCAAGGATACAAGAGACCATCCTTCACAGAGGTCTTTTGTAGACTGACTGTTGGACACTAGATGGAGGCTCAAAGGAAAAGACCTCTCATGTTGTTAATAACATGTTTCCTCAATTTCTCTCCTTGCATTGTTTTCTCACATCTTACTAGGCAGGACTAAGGTGCAAGGAAAGGATGCAAGTGAGGGAAACACTTTGCTTATAAAAAATCTTGGATGTACCCACTGTGAACACAGCCTGTATGTCCATATACCTATCCTTCTCACCTGAGCAACATGTACCTCCCCCTGAGCCAGGTGGGTTTGGCCAGGCCTGTGGAAACAGGCCTGAAAAAGTCCTCACACACTGTGTTGACCTGTCCCAAGTCCAGGTTGTGGGGTCGACGTCCAGTCACTCTCCACAGACGCCACAGCTGGTAAGTGTCTCGAAACGTCTCAATACGAGATGCAAGGATGCCACGTGGATCTCGAACAAGCTGGACCACCTGATGATGATGGTGAAGAGTATTAATTAAGTGTATTAATTAACTGCTAGCCCTATAGCCTAGGTCAAGTGTCAGACTCAGAGTTACAATAAATATAGTACCAGAGCCAATATCAAAAAGTAGATAAAGCCACATGAATTGGAATATTTCACATTAAAATACATATTTATTTAAAGTCTAATCGAGGTAACGAGCAGTTTTATCTGTGCAAAATAGCCCAAATTTTTTTCCTCCTGTCATTGAATGCACCATACGTTACTGGATCTCAGAGTGAGAAAATCCTCACAAAATCTTGCAAACAAGTGTAACATGATTCATGTGTGTCAGGCGATCTGTAAATACATTTTAAAGAACTGCACATAAAAAATGAGTTTTTATACAGTGGGTATGGAAAGTATTC